CTGTAAATCTAGAATCCCCACAATTGGATTTACTCCCTGGGTCTGTTTTTTGCTCCAGGTCTGTCACTCTCAAATTTCTGAGAAATCTACAAATCTTATAGTTACTATAAATTCACTCATTCATAAAAACTGCTTCACTTTGATTAAAGCTTAAATATGGTGTTAGCAAACACAATGTATTTTCGGGTTAGATAAAGCAAAGGGAAATGCATTTTAAGAAACTGGTATCCAGGTACGGTGGTGTACACCTGTAATCCCAGTGGCTCCAGAGGCTGATGCAGGAGGATCCTGAGTTCAAAGCTAGCCTCAGAAATTTAGCAAGGCCCTAAGCAACTCAGCAAGACCCTGTCTTTAAATAATATATAAAAAGGGCTGGGGATGTGGCTTAGTGGTTAAGCATCCCTCGGTTCAATTCTCAGTATCTGAGAAAGAGAGAGGAACTGATAGTCTAGGCACATTTCAAACATCTTATAGATGGGGAGAGAATGTCAACCTGAGGTTCCTGAAGGAAGAGGAAACCACCATTACCAAGGTAATATTGTTGCCACATGCTTTCCCATTCCCACCCTCACAGTTGCCTTTAAAGGAAGACTGGATATCCCCAAAGTGCACGCCTGGAGCACCTGGGCGCCATCTTCCTTTGAGTTCCAGCCTGTCCTGCTGTGTTCTTTTCCCTGTTGCTTTACTATCTGATGTGCCCTGGAATTCTTTACTGCGGTAAAAGAAAGTAAAGAAACCTGCCTGGGCTGAGTTGAGGTCCCCTTTTCCTCTTTAGAGGGGACTTCTAGGACTCCCCTTCTAACCCCCACTCCCACCCCTGTGACAATCTGACCTAAGTTTGCTCAGGTCTGTGCTGTGTCCTGTCAGCAGTTCTGTAGAGGTAGTCTGGTCCAAGATGTCTGTTAAGAGGTCTAGCCATCACATCTATGTTCTAAGCATCAGTGTAAAGGGAAGGAAGAGGATTAGATTGTGCCTCCACTCTTACAAGTCCCACCAATACTTCTACTAGCTGCAAAGAAACTCATAGATTTTTAGCTCGGTAACATGTCCCAGCTAAAAGAGCTGTGTTAATTTAAGAGACCTGGGAAAAATAGCTGCTGGTAAGAAACTAGCTATTTCTGCCAGACTCTAGGAGGGCTATTGCCTCATCAGTCATAAATGGGTCTATCAGCTCCTTTTTGAAAGCAAGACCCATAGGTAAGAAAGACTGGAGAGAAATATGAGGATAGTAGGCTGGGAAAAGTGGCAGCTGATGAGTGGGGTGGATGAAAGGTATTAAAAACAAAACCCCTTTACTTTAGAATTTCATTCAGCGTCAGCTTCAGCCTCAACTCTTTCTTATTTATATGTGCAACCATTTAAAGTATTAATATTCAATAATAACCAAGAGGAGTCATGTTATATACCAATTATATTTGTTTTATTTTAAAGGACTAAATTATTTTTTAAAAGACTTAATCACTTTTGGTTGTATTCTTTCCCCTCTTTTAGAGAAACGCCTCTAATGCCAAGATAGATCTTGGATTTCCATGGTTATTACACTTAACTTTGTGAATTTGTCTCTCCCCCCTCCCATAAACCCCAAAGGGAATGGAAAAATGGCATCATATTGATAAAACGTGAGCCTTCCAAGACATTCTTTAGATGGCCAATGTGCAAATATGGTCAAAATGAAGAATCCAGGCCAACTGAGTGAACATTTCTCCACAGATGCTTGGGGTGAAGCTGGCTGGCTTTGCAAAGTGGTTCTCTTTATAAACTAGCAACATTGCTTTATGATGTGTCTGGGTGACAGGCCAATTTCTTAAGTGATTTAAGTATATGTATTTAGTATTTTCCAGAACTTTTGCTTTTAGAACTAACTTATAGGGTAGAGCAGCTGACCATGCTGTGCCATGGCATACTGCCTTAGCAGAATCACTGACAGAATTAGATACCTCAGGTCCCCCAAATTTACTCATTTCCAGCAACCTCATCTTTTATACTTTGACACCATTATAAAATCATGATAAGAGAGAAATGATAGGAAAAGATGAGATAAAGATTCAAATGGGATTTTAAGATGTGTCATCATGTTTGTGGTAGAGAACTTGTTTGTGTGCACAAATGCTTGTGGACCATAAAGCTCCATCTCTCATCCAAATGGTGATGTGGCTGCAAGCTGAACAGCACGCGGCCTCCTTGGGCAAACTGGGCTCTGAGTCCATTGTCAAAACAGAGTGAACAGTCATCACTGATCTACTGCACTCCCCACCCCCCGCCTACCAACTCCACCCCTGGCTGGTTATGTACATTTTTTCTTCAGATGCTTGTGAAATCAAGAAAAGCATCTGTATTGCACTTCACGTAAGAAAAAAATCATCTAAAAAACCACACATATAGCAAAATAAAATGATCTCTTCTACTTGAGGAAATATCCTGTCTTCTAGAACCCCAATCTCTCTCTTCTGCTTTTCCCATCTGTGCCCTCTCCCTGCTCCTCCTTTTTGACTCTTTCTTCTCCTAAAGGGGAACATAAAGACTAGTAAGAGCTTAGTTACACCCTCCCTTGAGGCATATGAATAGTGCATTTAAAAAGTGATCAAAACTAAAGAGAAGAAGCTCTGTTGGTGGAATTTAGGCAGAATGAATAATGGAAAGAGCCACATATTGGAGCCAAAGAGAACTGGAATTGATTCCCAGTTCTGTCATTTAGAAACTGTCTTGGGTGAGTTACTTGTCTTTTCTGAGTCACAGTTTGTTTATAAAAAAAAGTTGAAATAATAATACCTGCCTCATCATGATTTGAGAATTAACGGAAATTATGTATATGTAAAAAAATTAGTGCGGCATCTGGCACGTAAATATTACTCTCTTACCTCATCAGAAAAGAAATGTAGGAGTGTTGGGGTGAGTTATGGGGTTTTCTCAGTATTCTAATCTTCTGGGAACAGAATTGACAGCTGTGTGTGTGTGTGAGAGAGAGAGGGGTGGGGGAGAAAGGAGGGAGGGGAAAATAGTTTAGAAGAAAGGAGGTAATTTGATTGCACTGATTTTTTTAATCTGTCTTTTTGTGAACTTTTGGCGTTGTTGCTTCCTGGTATCAGAGAAAATGGGAAACTAAATCATGAAGTCCTTGGTGAACAAAAAATCAGAGCAAATGAAAAAAAGTAGTTTTGGGGTTACTTTATGAATATGCTGATAAAATCCCAGTGAAATCTTTTTACCCTATTCCTTATGTTCTTTGGGCTTACTTTCTCTTCTGGATGGTACTGATACTTCAAGTGGTAGTTCTCTCTGAGTTTCATTTTCTATGCTGGCCACTGTGTTTGGGGCCAACACATTCTTTTGCCACATGTGTTAATATCACTGTCTTAGGATCTGTCAAAATGAAGAACAACTTCCTTCTCTGTGCCAGACCTGATTTGATACTCTGAACTGCAAAGATTCAGACTTTTCTTGGCATCAAAATATAGGAGCTGGGCTCAGATCTCACAGCTCTATTTTGTTCCTTTTAAACCTGATACCCTGTGTTTCCATATTACTATTGCTGGGTACTTGCTCTGCCTGAACTTTTGTGTTTGCTGTGGTACATGGGGTCTAGCCTCAGATCAGGTGCTTCTCTCACCAAGATCTGAATGCATGCTTTTGAGTCTCTAACCCTGATCTGGGTCACACAGAAAATGAACAAGTTTTAAGACTTCTGAAAATTTTCTTTTTTGGGCTAGATTGACAACTCATGGTAAAATTTACTTATGACTTCCCCAAGATAAAAAACTATTTAGGCTTTTGCCCATAATGAGATCTTATCTTCATCTTATTGGTTCTTTCTTCTGGTTCATTAGGGAAAAAACAATGGCTATGTTTTTTATAAAAAGTATTTGGACCTGATATGGTGGCACATGCCTATAATTCCAGTAGCTCAGGAGGCTGAGGCAGGTGGATTGTGAGTTCAAAGCCAGACTCAGCATTTTAGTGAGGCCCTCAGCAACTCAGCGAGATCCTATCTATAATAAAATATAAAAAGAGCTGGAGATATGGCTCAGAGGTTAAACCCCTGGGTTCAATCCTGGTACCAAAAAAAAAAAAAAAAAACATTTGGAAGACATACATATACAAAACAAGAAAATAAAGAATGATGCATAAAGATAGAGCACCAAACAACATCTGGGCATAGAAGATGAGCAGATATACCCCCAGGATTCCTCACTGCAGGTCCATGGATATTCAAGAAGTCTGCAATACTATTGTATCTCAATTAAAATGCACATCACAACTAAAAATATTGGACAAATTTCAACAACATTGGTTTCATCTACAATAATGAAAATTCTTTTTCTTTTGCTTTTACAAGAAGTCCATAGGTTTCATAGAAATGTCAAAGGATCCATAGCACTAAAAAGTTAAGAATTCCTGAGGTAGGAAGTTTGTATGTTACTTTGCATGATCTGCTGATTTCATTAATCTAATTTTCACAGTTCTTAGTTTTCTCTTCTGTGGTCTTCTCACCCTGAACTCGGCCTCTTAGTTTGTGCCATCTGTATCTGCAGTATACAGCATTTGTCAATCTTTCTTTGGGCAGAACATTTCTTTCAACATAGTAACAGTGCAATTCATAAATAGAAATTTTTTTCATATTTATTTTAATGTTTATTGAATAAATCATGTGTGCTGATTACTGTGCTAGCCAAAGAGGATACAAGTCCAATTAAAAACAGTACTGCCCTTTATCACTTATGATCTCAGGGGTGTGTATGTGTGTGTGTAATAACTTCTTTATTTATGTTCCCACCCTACCTCCACAGATCTTGGAGACATCTGAGGTTTCATGGGGACTTTCCAACATTCCAGACAGCGGCCCTGCAATGAAGCTCTGAGTCATGGTCTTTGGGCCTAAGGTACTGTCAACAATATGGAAACCCAGGACAGCCAACCTCATTCTAAGTCTTCACTCTAAGCAAAAGCCCAGAGTGAATCTGGCCTCAAATCAGAGCAAGCGCTAGAGAAAACCTTCTTTGTTAATGGAAAGAGAAAAGAAGGAAAGGATTTCCAACGAATTGCAACAAACTTTCCACCACTCAAAGGAACCTACCTTCCTCATCAACCAAGGCATCCTATTGAGTGACACCCATTTTAGCCTTTTGCCAGAAGCAGAGTGTGTCAATCCTAGGGAAAAAATAAAGACAAATGCTCAGAAGAGTAGACCTGGAACAGTGATACTATCAAAACGGCCAATTAGGAGCACAATGTCGGAAAACCAGCTGAGCCTCCCTGTGATCCCATCCCGCAGGCCTGGATTCCGGGTCTGCTACATTTGTGGCCGAGAATTTGGGTCCCAATCACTAGCCATTCATGAACCCCAGTGCTTGGAGAAGTGGCGTATTGAAAACAGCAAGTTGCCCAAGCACCTGAGGAGGCCAGAACCCTCCAAACCTCAGCCTCTCGGTGGCAGTGGGTCCTACAGTCTTACAGCAGAAAATGAGGCAGCATTTCAGAGTGCCCAGGCTCAGTTGCTGCCCTGTGAGTTTTGTGGCCGCACCTTCCTGCCAGATCGTCTCCTTGTTCACCAGAGAAGCTGCAAGCCAAAGGGTGAAGGTCCCAGAGTACCAAACCCCAACAATTCTGATGATCTTCCCAGCCCCAAGAAAGCTTCTAGTGGTATCCCAGCCCGACCAAGGACTCTCATCTGCTATATTTGTGGTAGGGAATTTGGCACACTCTCTCTTCCTATTCATGAGCCCAAATGCCTGGAAAAGTGGAAAGCAGAAAACGACAGGCTTCCTAAGGAGCTCCGCCTGCCACTCCCACAGAAGCCTCAGCCCCTTCCAACTGGATGGCCCAGCCAAGAGGAGTCAAGTCAAGCTCAACTTGTTCCCTGCCCAAACTGTAAACGGACTTTTGCCCCAGATCGCCTTCTGGTGCACCAGAAGAGTTGCAAAGCTCAATCCAATGGATCACAAGTTCAGAATTTGACCTTAGGAAGTAAAGATGGCCTAAATGCATCCACTAATTCCAAGCATCAAAAGAACATGGCAGCACCCAGTGTGACTGATAAGGTAATTCATGCCATGTAAGATGCATTAGGTGTATCTGGGGATACATTCAGCTTCTAAGGGAATAAGAAAAAACTGTTCCCTAAATCAGTCATCTCAGCCCCTAGGATGGTTTATTTCAATGTCTTATTTCTGCCTCAATGCAGCCTGTCCAAGTTGATCCCCTGTGGACTCTGGGGGCAATATCTCTCTTGACAAAGTAGACCTAAGAACACCCTTGCCTGGTGGGTTCATATTCCTCTTCAATTCTGCTGCCTAAAAGAGATGGACTTCTTTCTTCCCTGATCCCTCATACCAATTATCCCTGGGAGAGAGTGTTATTTGAAAATGAGTCATTAATGCTGTGTCTACATTACAGAGATATAATTCCCATTCCAACAGCCAATATTTATTGCTGGTTTATTTTAGTCATCTACCTTAGGAATTCATTTTTGGCAATGTTGGGTTATGCTGAGTTTATCTTACTAAAATAGAATCTATGTCAAAAACCTCAAATGACTTTAGCAATAATTAAACACTGAAGCACTTGCAGAAATACACATGCCCTGCAAATACAACATTCTTATAACACTTACACAACTATAATAAATGGGGGTTTAACCCCAGCATAGACATTGAAGCAACTAGATATATGTTTATGGTTCTAGGAGGTGCTTAATCCCACTGTTGCTCTATATTCTGTGTGTGGACTGATCACAGGGTCCTGACCCCTGACTTTAGTCACTAAATATGTACCTCCAGGTGTCCCCAACTTGTATGGTGAAGAATTCTTGGACTTTTACCTGGGGTCTCACCATCAACCAGGATTGGGTAGGGATGTCAATCAAAGTGGCTACTATAAGATAGGATAAGGTCCATGCTGTTTGTCCTGTCATTAAACCAGGGAATGGATGCACTGTCTGTGTCACACCTTACACAATATCAAATTATAATACGAGATGGCAAGGATTTTTTTCCGTGGCTTGTTTCTTGAATGCCCAGTATTCTGAAATTCTCCAAACCACAGCCTCTGCAACAGCAGTTCCTACAGTCTTCAGGCAGCAAATAAGTCTATAAATTGACCTTTGGGGCAACACAAATTACTCAAGCTGTTGTAAAAGATTAAGCCAAACAAATGAAGATGACCCTTTATTTAAAATCCAACTTTCTTTAAATTATTACTTTGGGGACTTTCTAGTCCTTGTTCTTAAATTCCATGTTTAAAATGAAATGATTATGGAATTACTGGTTTAGGAGATTCCAAGATAATGATTCTAAAGGTGGAATCAGACTAATGAGCTGGGTTAAGTTTTCCAATGAACATTGGGGTAGGGGCTGGTACTGTCTAGCTTCTTTGTATAATGAAACCCCAAGCTTTTTAAATGTGGTATGGATTTCAAGTTGGTCTCATAAACATGATCTGTTTTCCCCATCTTCTGGCTGTTGCTTTTCTTCCAAAATGTGTGGGGTCTGGAATCAGAGAAAAAGAATCTGCATCTCATGGCTGCAAATCAGAAACTCCCTTAGCATTCTAACTTGCAGCCCTGTTTCTTGATTGTATGCATTTACCTCAAATGTTCTCATTACAGATCTAGAGATAGGGAGGAGTGTGGTTAGGACTCTTGTGCTTGTTGTTGTAACACATACTTTATGCTCTAAGACCAGAGCCAACAGGCTGAGCACAACATGTACTCTCTCAGTCATACTCCTAAAAGAGGCTGGCTGGGCCCACAGTGTCACAAAAACACACCTTCCTGACTCACCCAGTCGTCTGGAGGGGAGAATGTCAGAAAGAGGACAGTGATAGCCCTTTGGTGACTTGTACATTTCGGTAAGTTGAGTAAGGCCATATAGAGGACATTGCCATATCAACATGTACCCAACCCTGCTCTCAGGCTGAAACCCATGTATCATTGGGAAACTAGCACCCACCACTGTCAAATGTGTGCTGGCCTGTTAGGGATTCATACAGGCATCGGTGGAGGGCATAGAAATTTCATCCAACTTAGGGTCCCCTTAGTTGCCAGAATTGAAACAAGCTTGGGTTAATTAAAATGGAAGAAATTTAGCCAGGTACATAATAGTAACCCCAACAACTTGGAAAGCTGAAGCAAGTACGAGGCCAGCCTGGGCAGTTTAGCAAGATCTTATCTCAAAAAAAAAAAAAAAAAATTGAAAGGGGTGGAGTTGTAGCTCAATGTTGAGCACCCCTGAGTTCCATTTCAAATAATAAAAAAAAGGAAGATATTCCTAGGCTTCAGAAAAGCATAGATGGTTTAAGCATTGAGCTCCCTGGAGAAGATGCTTGTCATTCCACAGTGCTTTCAGCACAAAACCTTTCCTTCATAGTGTAGCATTCTTTTTCCATTGCAATTTAACCCGGTGGAAGTTTTTCTTTCTTTGTACCATTCAAAAATCTACATAGTGCTGTGAATCTCTTGTTTTCCATAAAAAGCATTACCCTATAACATTATTAGATTTCAAAATTGCATCTCCCCATGACAGATAACTTTTGGCTGAATGCTCAGGCATTCCTTTGTACAATTCAATGTCTACTTCATTTCTTCTCTTGTCAATTGGAGCAATTGTCCTCTAGAACCCTTGATCAGACTTCAGATTAGAATCACCTGTCTTACCTAATATTCTCAAGGTTCCCTCAACCTGAATTGAACTCAGGTGAGGGAAATGGCTTTTTTTTTCTGAATTATGATTTTACTACTTGGAAACAATTTACTTCAGTTGGGTGACAATGACTGTTTTGCTGGCACAGTGCATTGCCCTTTGTGTAGAATATTCCTGCAACACAGTTTGGCTCCATTCCCTTTGACACAGATGCTCCCATTATCCTTTGGTCAAATCTGAACACAAATAAATGCTGATAAAACAAGCTCACCTCCAAGATCTCAGAAGGCATTTTCTTTGCCCTAAAACCACATATTAGTTTGAATTTGTCCCACTGCTTATCATCTGAAATAAAGGCCAAGTTTACTCTTCTAATCTCACAGCAAGGTTGTGAAGGAAACTAACAGCATTTAAGAGGAATAGAACCTGGTGTGAATTTGTATTTAAAGGGTGTGGCTGTTCTGGGACTGTTGCTCTCCCCACTATTTGGTAAAGCATTGAGCTACTTTTCTTTCCTCTGAAAGAGGAAAACTCTGGATGAACAGTATCCAGTTTAGCAAGATTTAAAATGTGATATTAATGTCAAATGAAATTTTGACATATAATATAGAAAATCATAAATTATTATTTTAAATTTTAATGTTTTATCTATTTAATGAGATTTGATGTTTATTTAGTAAATGATTTCCTAAGCTATACTGAGGAATATAATAATAGAAGTCATTATTACTTCTTATTTTATGATGAATGAATAAATGGACCCTTTATTTTAAATCCAATTTTCTTTCTTTTTTGTTTTATTGCTTTAGAAACTGGTTAGTCCTTGTTCATAAGTTCCATGAAATGGAATGTCAGAAGCTGTTGGTAATCTATTCTTTAGCTTTAGAACCTTTCAGAATAATGAGAACACAAATTGACAGAGTAAAATAAACAACGGCCTTTTCCTAGTTAACTATGTATTAGTTAGGTAATGCTAGGGGTAATTTTCTTGGGATTTGCTGGTAACACATGAAACATTGTCCTTAAAACAAATCCTGCCCTTTATTGCTAAATAGGCATGTTTTTCAAAGGAACACTAACTTTTCTACAAACAATTGTCTCTCTGAATGTAGTTTTAAGCTCCTCTTGGCATCCTCTATGACCAGGTTTGAACTAAAAGCTCCTCAGACACATCTCTAGCATCTGGTGCTGCCATCTGGTGTTTTAAAGTGATGTCTTCTACATTACCAAATATCTTACTGCCTTTCTTCTCCTTGTTTTCCTCTCCAGATGTATTTGAGAAGGTACCCTTGTAACACAAACACCAGTTAACATATGTGATTTAAAGGTATAAATACTGTTTCCTGGTGAAGTATCTCTTTCTTTAATGTGGGAAACTCTTAGTGGGAAGGTCAAAATCAGAAAGACTGAGAAGGGTGGCATGGATTTTCTTGCATCTATACATTTTGAATGTGTGCATAGGTATCTGCTAGATAAGACAAATTTGGAGTTTAGGAGAAGAATGAATGAAAGGGAACTAGTTATTAATGAGTACCTTGATTAAAAAAATACTGGAGATGGAGTTATTTCTACACAACAGAAACTTCTTCCTTTCTCTCTCCCTCTCTCTCTCTCTTCCCCCCATCTCCCCCCCAACTCCTTTCTTCCTTTCTTCCTCCCTGCCCCCGCTTCACTGGTACCAGGGATTAAACCCAGGGGTGCTTAACCACTGAGCCATATCCCCAGCCCTTTCTATTTTTTTTATTTTGAGAGGCTCGCTCAATTGTTGAGGCTTGTTTTGAACTTGTGATCCTCTTGCTTCAGTTTCCCGAGTGGCTAGGATTACAGGCATGCACCACCATGCCTGGTCAGAAATTTATTCCTAACAGTTCTTGAGGCTGGAAAGTCCAAATTCAAGTTACCAGCAGGACTGGTTTCTGGGGAGGGCTGTTTTTTGTTTCTAAGATGGAGCTTTGTTGCTCTATCCTCTGGAGTAGGGAAAAACACTGAGTCCTCACATGACAGAAGGGATGGAAGGGTAGGAAAGGGCTCCCTTCAACTTTGAACCTTACCATATGGTGCTAATAGCATTCAGGAGGCTGGAGCCCTTGTGACTTACCTTCCAAATACCACACTTCTTATTACTGCTGCATTGGGGACTTGGTTTCAGCATGGATTTGGTTGGGGACACCATCATTAAGCTTTATGATCAGCTCTTTATGTGCATAATCTAATTTTAATCTTTACAATATTGTTGTAAAATAGATATTGTATTTTCTAGTTCCCAGGTAGGAAGACTGAGGTTAAGCAACTTCCCCAAGTTACACAATGGGTTCACATATGGGTGTCAGAGCCAGGTCTGTCTAATTCTAAAGTAACACATCTTTTCATGTCACTATGAAAGAGTTGGAGGAATAATATAGAGAAAAATCATAGCTACT